TAACGATATTGCGATCCTTAAAGCATTTGTAGGGGACAAAGCCATGTGGAAGATTCCTAATCATCCATGCCAAGTTGATCCAAGATTCAAGCTCACGGGAGAAAGGCTCTCATGGAGAATTGATGAAGGTGGAACTGGCAGCCGGAAAATACTGTTGGAAGAGCTGGTGGCTAGGATAAAACCTAGCTCTGATATCATGTCAGATTTGTGACTTAAACAACATTATTTTATTAATAGAATAAGGAGTATTTAAACCCATTTACAATCGACTCAACAAGAGAAAGAAATAAAGCAGAATAGAATAAATGGGAAAGGAATAAAACAAACTGAAGTAAAAAAAGGCAAGAAATAATAACCTAATAGGCAAGAAATAATAAGTAATAACGGTTAGGGATTTAATTGCCGTTATAAATCTAATAATTACCATAAATCAATATAGCTCAAATCTCTTTTTCACTAATCCTCTTTTGTCTCTTCATCGTTTTCCTCATTTTTTTAGTGTTAGTTACTTTCCTCTCTTTTGTGAAAAACTTTTTTGTTGTTGAACAAATTTTTGAATGCCTTTTAAATATTGAAAAATAGGATGGCTTAGTTATATTGCTGCAACATTATTTACTTAAAGTACAAGTAGAATCAAAACAAGTGCTATGAACTCCTTTGCTTAGATTTGTTCCCTCATCAATGAAATAAGAGTTTGGTGTGCGTTGACTCCTTTGTGCTTTTTAGCAATTTTAATCATCTTCTACAAGACTAGTTTTTGAAGCTGATAATAGGAATGATAGAAATCATTATTTGTTAATTTAGTAATGGATAAAAATTTGCATGATAAACTTGGAACATGAATAATATTACGCAGAGTTAGTAATGTAAAATTTTAATTAAGCCCATCTAGGCTATTTAGGGGAGAGGGACCGTCACCAATCTCAATTTCTTGTTGTAAATAAATGCATAGGAAGAAAATAAATTTGAGCAACTTCTCATCATTTTATTTGATCAGTTGCTCCAAAATCAATGATCTAGAGGCCTTGTAGTTTAATTTTTGATGCAGAAAGAAATAGTTGTGTTAGATCTCAAAATGGTCTCTCGTTTATTTACTTGTAACTACTTTGGTCTCAGATTATACAATTCTTTAATTTAGATGGTGTTATGGATTAAATAATGATCAATTTTGCATTAGTCTCGGGTATTAATTTGAGATCAATTTTGTACCATAATCTCAAACGGAGGAATCACTTTGAATTATTTGTATAGTTTAGGGAATAAATTAGAGAAATGTGATACTTAAGATTAAATTAACCACGCATGAATAAATTGGATTCTATCCTGGGTTTTTGTTTTTAATAATTTTATTATGTTTCTTTGCCAAAGAACAAAGAGTGAAGGACAATTGTCAAGAGTTAAAGAGTTTTTGTAGGTGTTCTAATTGTTTTTTTTTTTGTATAGCATTCGTAACATGCTTTTCTTTTCTTTTTTCCTCAACATTAGGTCTGGGAGAGAATAAACCAGATTTTTTAGTCTTAGAATATTCTCTATCATTATCTTTTACACTCTATCAGTTGTGGGATGAGAGAGGTAGTATGCTTGAGATTCTTCCTTTCACTTTATTTAGACAAGAAACTTGTGAATGCTATCATTCTAGTTTTGTTTAATTGAACCATGCACAGTCATTTGGGTTCTCCCACATCTTCATAGCTTTAATCCAAGAGTTTCTACAATGTTACCATCTCATTGTTAAGGTCTTCATTGGCTGTTAAATTTCTTGAACTGATAGTTGAGTCACCTTTTTAAACTGGTTTGAAAAATAGGTTTTCTTATTTCTTTTTTCTGAGTAATGGCTTTTTTTTGTTCCTATTTATTTAATAATATCATTAACTAATGTTGCATTTGTTTAACTGCATTTGTTATTCATACTTGGTGGAGCTGCGTGCTTGAATAGGTTTTCAACATGTATTTGCATAGCGCTAAAGTTTTTTTAGTTTCCTGAAATCCCAACATAATCTTCAGTCATTAGAAACTATTTAAGCCTTGAATTTACTCCTCCCTGTGGAAATCTAATAAGATTTGACTCTTTCCATGTTTACCTCTCTCATGTGAGTCGGCCACCACCTCCAAATCTCAGAGGATTTGATTGAAATATTTTGGGAAACCTTTGATTTAGTTTATTCCCATTTTATTTCTTGTTTTTTATATTTTTTATTCAGAATTATTTTCCTTCTTAATATAAGTGAGATATATTTGGTAAGTTTGTAAATAATGAGGGATTGATCTCTCTCTCTTTCTCTCTCTCTATATATATATATATGTGTGTGTGTGTGTGTGTGTCCGATTTGTGAAGAATGAATAGATCAATTTTTCCTTCCCAAGTAATTCTACATGATATCAGAGCCTTGGAGCAAACCCTAAAGCCTCCGGCCGCGGAAAATTTCTTACTCTGCTATAGATGACAGATTTGTTCCCTTACAGACGCATGTGCTGTCTCATTCCAGTTGCAGGCAGTGCTTTCTCTTTCCCGCCGCAAGTTGGAAGCTGTGTTTGCTTCCTACAAAAGCAAGTGCCGACATTTGAAAACCATGATTTCATCCTTTAGCCACAGTGGAAACAGTTTGCTCCCTGTAGTGGACGTCATCAGAGCTTAAAAAGTAATTCCCGCTAGTGTTACTTCCTGCCGCGGGAGGCTCTCTCTCAAGTACAAATCTTTTCTGTCGTAGATCTCTCTGTAGCGCAAATCTTCTGTGTCGCAGGAGGGCATACCTTCTCTTTGCCTGGCAACCAGAATTCTTTCTTGCAAGCTCGTGTCTTGTCTGTCTGCAGTCACATTTCCTTGCTATAGTCTCGCATTTCCACTGCCTGCAGGCCCATATCTCCGGATTTTTTTCTGCTATCCGAATATTTTCTTGTTGTAGGCTCCCGGGCAATTCTCTCCCCATATCCTTTCAGTAACAACTACAACTCTGCCCTTCCCTCTAACCGAAACCTCAACCAGCAATGACCTTGGATTTTATCTGCTAGCAGCCACAACAACTCCGGACATTCCCTGCCACAGGCTTGCATCCTTTCTGCAACCACTTGTCTTCTTAGAGGCCCTCATCGGGAGCTTCTCCTTTCAGCAGGCCTTTCGCCATAGTTTTTTCCTGCAGTAGGCCCTCCTTTGGAGCTTCTCCCTTTAGCCATCAACACCATAATACCTCCTATGCCCTCCTCTATTCTCCTTTGTAATCGGAACTTTCTCTATAGCCAAAATCCTTCTGCTGCAGGCCCTCCACCACTAGAATCCTTTTAGCCAATTTGCAGGTCCTCCTCCGGAGCTCCTCTTCTTCCGGGCGCCAGAATTTTCTTTGCAGGATCTCTATTCAATTTCTGCCATCAGATTCTTCCTAGTTGTTGGCCCTCCAGAATTCTCCCTGCAACTAATCTTCCTGTTGCAGGCCCTTTTTCAGTTCTTCCCTGCAACATTACCTGCAGCCTTTCCTTTCCTGCAACAACCTTCCACCTAACTGCAAAAATTATAGTCAAAGACGACCGTGGTCAACTAGTAGCCCTAAATTCTCATGGGGTTGATAACCAGGTTCGGGATGAAGACTTCAAGCTCTACTCTCGAAGTTAACCATGCATCAGAGATCAAGAATTATGTTTTGACAACAGTTAAATTTTCTAACTCTATCGCAAATCATAAACTCAAACGACCATAACATCTCCAATATTTCCAATCCGTGTTATATACATTTGTGGTAAATAGAAAGATGAACATCTCACGAGAGAAGACAATTCCTGATATCACTGATCCCAACCATCGCACATGGAAGAATCAATATCATATGGTTATGTTTTGGCTAATCAATGACCATTAAAGTGGGAGAAAATTTTCTGCTCTACAAAACTACTAAAGAAAGTTGGGAGGCTGCAAGAGAAACATGTTCCAACACTGAAAATGCTGCAGAGTTATTTGAAATCGAACTCAAGTTTCATGATCTTTAGTGAAGGAGAGCTAAGTGTCACCCAATACTTCAACACCTTGGTAAAATATTGGCTACAATTGGATATGTTTGATACATGTGTGGAAATCTTCACATGATGATGTGATGTTTAAATCCATTATCGAGAAGAAAGAACTGTCAAATTTCTAGTTGGACTAACTTAGGAATTGGATGCTGTGAGAGGGAGAATTATGAGAACAATTCCTCTTCCATTTACACGTGAAGCCTTTGTAGAAGTCACGAGAGAAGAGAACATAAGGGTGTTGATACTAATTGAAAATGAGGGTTCACCAAGTATTGAAAGCTCGGCCCTATATACTTATAATTCCTCCCATGACTCAAAATATAAGAGGAATTGTTCCAGATGTGAGTATTGCAAGAAGATTAGACATATCAAAGACAAATGTTAGAAACTTCATGGAAAACCTGCAAAGTGGAAACCTAGACAAAAGAAAATATCAAGAAGAGAAGACTAATACCACATTCAAAAGTTCGGCTGAACCATTCACCATGGAGTGGCTTGAAGTACTGAAAAATCTCATTGGAAGTAATTCAGAGCTGTACACCAATCTCATGACACACCAAGGTAGTGGAGTAGGGGAAGGTGATTGGCAGTACTGAACTACACCGAAACTCTTACTTTCAACACCATGGAATTCAATACCAAGCTTGGTCTCCACAACATCTACGACCCAGCTTGAGGGGGAGGGGGGAGGGGGGTGGGGGTCGTGTGGAAATTTTATTGGCTCTTTCCATATTTACTCATCTCATGTGGACCAACTACCATCTCCAAATTTTCGAAAATTTGATTGGGGTATCTTAGGAAACCTTTGATTTTGTTTATTCCCTTCTTATTTTATGTTTTTCTATTTTGTATTCATAATTATTTATTTTTCTAATTTAGGTGAGATATCTTTAATAAGTTTGTAAGAAGGGATTGATTTTTCTATATATATGTATCTTATTTGTGAAGAATGGATAGAATAATTTTTCCTCCCCAAATAATTCTGCACTCCCTAATTTCAGAAAACTAACAAAGGAGCTATGCGATATCATTCAAGATTTTAGTTTGGTTAATTTCACTACATTGGATATACAGGTTAGTCTCTTCTCCTTCATTTTATTGCTTATATATTTTTACTAGTTTGGAATAATCGTTTGATAGGTTTGCTTGTTCAGGATAAGGAAAGTGTTGGAAATCTTGTGAAGCTTATAGACAAAAGCAACGGATATATATTTGCTGGTATCGAAGGAAGTGTCGTGGAATTTAGCAAGATAGCAGCTGCTCCTCTTGACTGGGATTATTATAGATATCCTTTTTTGTTTGATTTTTCTTAATTTCTCTAAATTATTTTCATAGCTTGGTTTACTTTTGCATAAAAATCATCTTCGTTATTTTGGGGGCATGTCTTTGGTTATATACATCTATTACCCGCTGAAATTCCTTTTTCAGAGGAATTTAGCTGTTGCCTTCTTTTCTAATGCAGCCTCGGGACATCATAAATACTTGAAGTACTTTCTAACGTCAGTCAACATTTTCATATTCATTGTTTAGTTTTATATCTTTAATAAAGTAGTCATCACACGTTTGGATTCGTTGCACATATTTGAATTGGCTATTTCTGCATCACCAAGAATATTATGGCGAGACATTTATGAAGTGGAGTAATTCTCTTTTTTGTTTCTGCTTGTAAGTTGGTCTTTCCTTAATTTTAGTGCGCACAACAGCTGCAATTCAAGAAAAGTATATGAAAGATGACGAGTTTTTATAGAAGTTGATGGTGTTTGATGAAATCAATTGGCTGTGGTGAGGCTTTTTTTCTTCTCTTAGATTTTTAATTCTTTTCTGGAAAATATTTTAGCTGGTACAATGTGAATTGGCAATAAGCTGCTCTACATTTTCATTTGAATATTTTTGAACCTAGTTTGGAAACTGTGCTGAAACAGATTGCTTGCTTGTTTTTTATCCCTTTATGCCAGACTGAAAACAATGTTATTTTTCAGATATTTTTGGCTTGTACCATCTCCTGCCTATGGATCTCAGCTGTAGCCACTGACTAGGGCTGTAAATGAGTCTAGCCGAGCATGAGTCGCCTTTGGCTTGAACTTGAGCTTGATTAATTAATTGAATTTGAGCTTGAGCTCAAGATTTAGTCTGCAAGTTTGAGTCGGCTCTCAGATTCAATTCGATGAATGAGTAAATGATTCAAGCAAATATTTTAATAAAATAAAAAAAAAAGAGAAATTAAAAAAACAATAAGAAATCACTTTATAAAGTGACAACTTTTAAATATTTTTAATAACTTTACACTGAAACGATTAGATTTTAATATATTTTAAGTGCATTTTAAATATTTTTTGTTCTTTCCAAGAACCATGTATGTTTCTGACAGAAAGTTGGTTTAAACTAAAACAGAAATGTATATTATATAGAGTTTTAAATTATAAATGATTTATCTTTTTGTGTATTGTTTAAGTTAAAGCTTTTATGGTTGGGATAATGTTAATGTTGATGATGATAAATGCTCAAGAAAACAATAATTCTATCATAATATAATAACTGATTCTTGTACAATTGTTTTAGAAACAGAAGGATATCTTTTAAGCAAAATCAATTATGATTTCCGTGTTTCTTGTTGGGTTCATGAAAATTTCTTTCTAATTAAGCATTAATTCTTAAGAATTTGATTTGAGACAAATCACAAAGCAATTCAAAGGAGCTACACTGTTACTACTTAAAAAATATTTTAGGAATCAAATATGTTCTAAACAATAAAAATTTACATCAAAAGGATAGTCTCGTCGATGATTCCATGCGGGCGAACACATTCTTCTACTCTTCAAAATTTCCCAAGAGCAATTTCTAATGAGAGTTCAATGAAAACAAATAAGCAAATAAGTTCTCTAAATTTTTAAAATGTCTTGGGAGAGTTAATTATCTCATAGGCCCTTGTATAGTAGACGAGTAAATAAGGCTTTTGGCTACTCCTTGTTCTATAATAGTTTACCTATATGTGATCCCAAGAGTGCATTTATTTTAGGAATGACCCTCATTTAGAGTCCTCAATGGGTCCATTAATGCTTATGATCAATGATGTGGTGCTATGCTTCTCGCCCCAGTGGAGATGTAATCGGAATGTTCGTCTCAGTGCTGTTTTGGAAGATTAAGGGCTTTTGTCTCCTGTGGGACCAACCAGCATTAATACCTTTTTATTACCTAGTTTTGAATCAAATTATGGTTGATTTGCTTTCATAGTATCACTATATTGTTTAAGACTTGATTTTGTGATTTTTTTTTTGTCTCTATGAATTATGAGATTTTTTTTTTCTCGTTTTCACCCCTTGGAACTGTTCTATCTTTGTTCTTACAATTGTAGTTGTATCTTAGTAGAGTGAAGGTGTTGTATCTTCTCCAACGTCATTGTCCATCTTTCCTCGTCGCCTTTAACACCTTCTTACATCTCTTCAATCGTCAACAACTATTCTTCTTGCTATCTTGCATCAATTTACTCATCAAAACTAGGTTATAACCATTCTTTTGGGAAACCTTAGATCAATGTCATTTGGTTTTGAAGCCTTTAAACCATAGTATTTTAGTTTTTTCAAAACATACCCTGACTCACAAAATCATCCATAGATCCTTCACCTAAATCTAATCTTTTGGCAAACCCTTGATCTAAAGTCCACCTTTACTGAAACGATAAGGAGAGGAGGTTCACCATACCGTCAAGGAGAAATCCTCAAAGAGATGTTCAATATCTTATCACAGAAGTTATGCAAAAAGAAATCTTTCAATTGCAATGGAGGCTCACTTATTTGAAAGACGACATTACATGGAAGTCATTTGTTGCAGCAACGATGACCAATCAAATGGAGAAGATGAAGAGTACTCTTTTCACTAATAAGCCTTAAGTGATGCAGAGCTAATGTGGCATTGAGTCAGCAATTAATATAAGAGGAGAGAGAGTGACTTTGGAGATAATGTTGACTTGTTAGATTTTGATGGTTAAGTGAATGTGGATGAATTTATTAATTGGATCCAAATTCTAGAATAGATCTTTGAATATAAGAAAATTTCACCTGATAGAAGAGAGAACCTAAAGAGGCTATGCTAGTGTGAAGGGAAAAGCAAGATCATGATCATGACTTGGTCTAAACTGGAGTTACAACGCAAGTATCTCCCAACATTCTACATATAAGATGTTTTTGTGACTTCATTTTTTACAGTAGAGTGATATCCAATTAAAATATACATTGTTGAATTTGATTAGCTTAAGTTGTAATATGATTTGGTATTAGAGGAGAATACTATAATCAGATATCTTGTAGGATTGAGGTCATCTATTGGTAATGCAATTACAACTCTATTAGACTTGTAGGATGTACATACCCTAGCCTTATAGATGGAGATGCAAAACAGTAGTATCAGATCCATTCCACCTTTTAAATAGGATTTGATCATTGGGTTTGGCAGTAAGAGTACCTTGAATATTGTTAAAACCCGCCCCACGTGAGAACTCAACACTAGAAGGAGCCAAGACTGACCAGGCCAACACCTCAAGGTAATTCTAGCCAAGAAATATTTTAAGTATCATGGATATGAGCACATTGCATCAAATTGCCCAAATAAGTGAGCGATTTTTTTATCGAGTAGGATGATGTGAAAAATGTAGGCAGTAGAGACTCTATATATAAAGAGAATGGAGAGTAGTACCAGTAATCCGATAGATGATGAGGTGATGCTTGTGGTTTAACTAGTTCTTCAAACAGAGTCCAAATGACAACAATAGTGACTTAGACATAACATCTTTTGTACCTATTGTAATGTGAAGGAAAAGACTTGTAATCTCATTATAAATGGAGCCAATTGTAAAAATGTATTGTTTACATAGATGGTATACGAAGCGAGTCTCACTACCCGTACTTTTAGTCATATTCCCTGACTTGATTGAAGGAATTGAATGAGATTAGTGTTGACAAGCGTTGTCTTGTAGAATTTTCATTGGAGATAACTTATATGAACATGCGTGGTGTAGCATTTTACCTTGAATGCATGCCACATCTTTTTTGTTGACCATGGCAGTATCACGTGGTTTTGATTTATGATGGCCATAAGAACAAATATTCTTTCATTAAAGATTGAAAAGACATAATATTTCTCATTGAAGGAGTCAACATTGATTAGATTCAGAAAAATGTGAGAGGGACGCCAGTGGGACTGGCTTTGGTGATGTTGTAGGTCAGTAAAATGGAGGGGCTAATATTTTCCTCAATGTGGTCTCTATTAAAGGAGTTTTGTGATGTTTGATTGACAGCCCGTAACTTGAATCAACACTTCTGTATGAGATTCAATATGTCATAGATCTCATCTTAGGATCAGGACTATCTAACAATTAGTCTTGGATGAGATCAGTAGAGTATGAGGAGTTGTAGAAGTAGGTTGAGGATTTGTAAACTAGCGTACTAGTATGTAAGAATATCAATGATACCGGTGTTAACCCAAACCACAATAGAAACACTAATGTTATTGTTAAAATTTAAAGGGGTTACAATCGAGACACTTGAAAATCGGAAAACAACAACATGAACACTAAACTAGGGCATAAATCAGGTGGGTGGTGCAGATCGGATGATAGGATGGTAGCTATTGGGGTGGGGTTGGTTGTAGGAGGGAGAAGAGGGGGTTGTGGTTGGCTGATAGCAGAGGGTCAGATTGAGGCGGTAACGAGTGGGAGAAGAGGGGGTTGTTATAGGCTGATTGCATAGGAAGGTTGTGGTTGGGAAATGCATTCGGAGAGGGGACAATGAGCAGGTAGGAGGTCTAGGCTACAGGAAACAACGGGGAAGGGCATTGGATTGGGTGGCATGCATGTAGAAGGCACGCGGTCTAGATGCAGGTTGGTAGGGCTTCACGACAGCAGGTTGAAAATTGTAGGGGGGGATAGAAGACTGTTGGAAGTAGCAAAACAACCGACATAATAATTCCAACTGAGGCGGGAGCAAATCCGACAATTGGGAAATGAGAAATGAAAGAGAGAAAGGGAAGATACACATCATCTTAGGACAATTTACAGTCGGAGCAACTTCTTGCTGTCGGATATAGTTTTAGAAGGGAAAATCGGACGCCGACGACTGTCCAAACAGAAATCTCAGCAAAAACTATACCTTAACACAACAAACAACCTTTTTAAAATCATTAAATAACTAGAAGTGGTCCCCCTTGGGTGGCAGTAGCTCCCAACTTTAATTAGGGTCGACCGGTTCAGCCTCTCTACTAAACCGACACCCCCTTGCTAAACCCTGGGCCAGTTCAGCCCTAACAACCCCACTTCAATCAATATTTGTGTTGTAATATCTATGATTATCCTCAAGAAGAATGGATTGTGGCACATGTGCATTGATAATATAACAGTGAGCATGATCATCATGATGTATTGACTTCACATTCTGTGATTGATCGACTTGCTGGATTGGTTGTATTGAACTATTATCTTTTTCAAGATTGATATTCACAGTGGTTGCTATCAGATTCAAATGAGGCCTGAGAATGAGTGAAAGACCTTCTTCAAGACGCGAGATGGACTGTATGATTGGATGATCATGCATTTTGGCTTGTTCAATTCCTCAAGAGCCTTTATGAGGCCAATGAACCATATTTTTCGACATTTATAAGCAAAGTTGTGGTTCTGTCCTTCGAGATCTTGGTTTACAGTCTTTCAGAGTATTTAGAGCATTTACGTAGGTTTTAGGAGTTCTTCGGACATAGCAATTGTATGATCATCCGAATAAGTCACTTTTTAACATTGCATACATGCTTCTTTGGATATATTATTAGGGAATTTACATACAGAGCAAACAATTTATATGTATTTACATATCTTACTCATAAACTTTCATATTTACACTCATAGCTCTCAAATCTTTAATATCACATAAAAATAGCACTCTTAATATTTAAAAGTGAAATCCACCTGTTCATGCATGGATTTAATGCACCAACATGTTGTGTATGTAGATATGAAAGTTTGGGTGTGAGATATGTAAATACATAAGAATTGGGTGCTAAGTATGTAAATTTTCCTATATATTCTTTTAGCAATGGTCTTTCAGTCGTTCACTTTGGTACGCCAATTCCATGGCCTGACTTTTTTTTAAAAGAGGTTTATTAGAAATTTTAGCTCTGCAGTGGTATCCTTGACGGAGCTTCCTAAGGCGGTCAATTTTGCTTGGCTAGATGAAGCACATGTCAGTTTTGATGCTTTGAAGAAATATGTTTGTTAGGTTTTTGCTCTAGCTCTATTAGGTTTTAATCAGATATTCAAGGTAGAGTGTGACACCTCTAATGTGGGAATTAGAGCCGTGTTGAGTCAAACATTCTCTCACATTCTTTAGTGAGAAAATGAATGATTCAAGGTGGAAGTGCTGTACATACATCAATGCTTATGCCATTGTGAGAGCTCCTAATCATTAGATTCTTGATCCGACAGCAAGTAAGTTTGCTCCTTATACAAATCGTGAGGCTTTGAGATTTCTGAACAGTCAGAGTATGCTGAAGGGTAGACATATATCATGGGCAAAATTTTATATTCCTTTCATTTTGTGCTTAAAGACAAAATTAAGAGTCATAACATAATAACTGATTCGTTGAGCCGTTGTCATGTACCGATCACCATGCAATCAAATGTAGTTGTCTTTAAGATGTTGAATGATCTGTATGTCACTGATGAGGACTTTCAAGAGATTTTGATCCATTGCCAAGCTAGACTGTACAATTAGTATCACATATTTGATGATTATCTGTTCTTCCAAAACTAGTTGCACATCCATTAGAATTCACTTACGAAGTCCATTTTGTTGGAGCGTCGCAATGAAGAAATGATTGGATATTTTGCCAGAGATATAAAACATAATAAAAGAAAATTTTTATTAGCCTAGATTACTATAAGATGTGGAGAGACATGTTCAACCATGCATAATGTGCCACCTAGCTAAATTGTGAGGGTAGAGCACTTGTCTATATGCTCCTCTTCTTGTGTTAGAGATACCTTGGGTGTACGTGAGCATAGACTTTGTTGTGGGTTTTCACGGACCAAATATAGTAAGGATTATGCTAAGGTGGCAGTAGACTGCTTCTTTAAGTGACATATTTTGTGCCCTGTTACAATGCGATGAACTTTATATGCATTGCGAACTTATACTTAGAGAGATATTTTGTCTTCATAGTGTACTCAAGACCACCACTTTAGATAGAGACGTGAGGTTTCTTAGTTATTTATTGAGGACTTGATGGAGTATGCTTGGTGCAAAGCTTCAATTTAGTTCAGCAACTCACCCGATCAGATGAACAAATAGAAATGACGAAGTTTAAGTTACCTAGTCAGGTGCTTTGTGGGCAAGTGTCAGATAGTGGGGACTTGAACCTCCACCTAGTCAAGTTTGCTTATATTTGTTATGCCAGTTAGTCTATAGTTCACAGCTCCTTTGAGATTGTATACTGACGTAACCTTGACACACTTTATAATCTGTGTTGATGCAGAGATCAGAGTCAGAGAGTCAAATTTTACATGACAGGTTAGGAAAAAAATTGTCATGTAAAACATGAAGTACTAGAAATAGGCTAACAAGTTTAGAACTGTTATGGTCTTCAAGGAAAGATTTGGTGCGGATCAGATTGAGTTGTGAGAGATTTTTTACGTGTTCTTTTGTAAAGCTCATCCCTAGAGCTAATGCTTCATTTGGAGTTGTGAAGAGAATTACTGAAAACGCCTATAAGACCTATTGGGAGATTATAAGATTTCTACAATCTTCAACGTTGCTGATTTGTCATCGTAATATTAGAATTCAAGATCTTCATATGATAAGGTGAAGTTCCTTTCACCCAAGAATGACGTGGTGTGATGCTTCCAGCTCCAGTGGAAAGGTAATTAGAACCGATGCCATTCTGAATATCTTGAACTGGTTTGATTCAGGCTTTTCTCCATCGTGTGAGGCCAGCCGACATTTAGACCCCTCCATGACCTTGTCATGAATAGAATTAGGGTTTCTTTGCTTTAGTAGTAAAAATAGATTGCTTAGGAACTGATTTTGGGACTTCTGATTTTGTTTTATGAATTTTTAGATTTGTTCTTTGATTTTTACCCTTTAAAAGTGTTGTATCTTTGCTTTTACGAGTGGTGTAGCTGCATCTTGTTTTAGTGTTGGTAGTGGATCTTCTCCGACATCATTCTCAACGGCCCCTTCTTCCATCTCTACCACCACCAACAGCCGCTGTTCCTGCTGCCTGCCCAGATTTTCTCATCAAAACCAGGTTATGATCATTCCTCTCAATACGCAAACCAGTCAAAATCTTTCCCTTGCCAACACACCATCTGCCCAGATTTTCTCATCAAAACCAGGTTATGATCATTCCTCTCAATACCCAAACCACTCAAGATCTTTCCTTTGCCAACAAACATCTGAAACCATCATCAGGGAAACCCTTGATCAATGTCATTCAAGGAAGGCTGGTGACCAAATCAGTCTTTGATTGATGTAAATATGTTTGAGGGGCTCACCAATAAGCCCCAGAGGGCATCTAATCTTGGGCATTGTCCTTGTAAAAAGTCTATTGAAGGGAACATTACTGAATGTTCCAGTGGGGGTCCTGTCCATCGTCAAGATCTTTTGGCTCCACGGGCAACCACCCTCACTCAGCTAGCTCGTAAGTCAAAATGCATTACTCTTGTTAACTGACTACTTCGTCTAATGCTTAGGTTTCATCAACCTTCTTTAATTCACTTCCAGGTTCCCTCCAATTGGCTTATCAACTGGCTGCCCAACTATTCCTACTCACTCTTTATCATGTTTTAGGCACCCAACAATCGGCTTCTCAGTTCGCCACTCGACTTTTGCCAACTGATTCCGTTTATTGATCCCATCAGTTACTTCCTTGGTTTGTCACGTAGCCTCTGGTCGCCAAATCCTTAGTTTGTTTATTGGCTTCTGCTTGCAGCATCTCTAATTTGTTGGCTCTATCAATCGGCTATATAGTTCCTCGCCCTGTTCTCGCTATTGAAATCGTTTGTTTGTTGTGTCACACTTGTCAAGCAGCCAGTCATTTTGCTTCTGCAGCCCAATTCTCACCCATCTACATTTATTCTATGCAGTCTATACCGATTGACCCTCTTGGTCACTCATGACCTGTTCTCGCTATTGAAACAACTTTGATCTAGGTACTGGACTAACAGGAGATTAGTCAGATTGTCTATGGTTTTGATTTTCACATTAGACTCTGGAAACAACATATGGATCAATTTTGTTGAAATTTTAATGGCAAATTTTTCTAAGAAAATTATCGGCGCTGATGATTCTCTAATCATTTCCTTCAAATTGAAGAGGATGTTGTTAGGAGTCTGTAGACATGATTTGATTCTCAATTGCACTTCATTTGTTTGACATCATGATTGGATTCTTGTTTAAATAATCTTTATTAAATAATCTTTATTAAATCTATTAGTTGTAGTTCTATTCATATGGTTTTTAAATTTAATTGAGAAATATTTGGACATTAATTTTTTCTTTCGTTATTGTCTCTTTATTGACCTCCTTCCATCTCCTTCAAGCTACTTGCTAGTACTATTTTCCTTCTTTCTTCTAGTCATCAGAGGCTCAGAGCTGAGTAGCAACACTGGCAATGATTGAGAACATTGACTTGGGATATAGACAGCTCTGAGCTATATGTCACCACAAAAGAAAATTATGGGAAATTTTTTGAAGAAGAATATTATATTCTGAGTTTTGTTCGCTGCATTGTTACAATCCTTGCACAACCCTGATAGGTAGGGGTGCGTATTATTTGATCAAAACCAAAAATTTGAATCAAATCGAATAAATTTTGTTGATCCAATATGATTTCAAAAATGTATTTAGTTTTGGGTTTTTTTATATCTCAATATTTGGTTTTTTGTTCCGGTTTCGGTTTAAATTTTCATTTAACCAAAAAACTGAAAAATTGAATATGAATTGGGGATTTATGAAATTAAATTGATATTATACATATAACATGTATAATTCCTTATGTTTTTTCATATCCAAAGTCAAACTAAGTAAACTTTGGTTTGTTCATAACCTATATGTCTAAAGTCTTGTTTGGGGTAGTTGCATCTTATTAAAAAGCAGCTGTGCTGCTAAAAAATAATTTGATGTTCAAAAAGTTGTGGTGGCTATTACAATTTTTTTTTTTTTTGAAAAAAGTCAGATTGCAGCCAGAAAGATGCCACCACGCACACCCAGGACTAGTGAAAAAACACAGAGTTTAGCAGCAATTTTCTGAAAAATTTGTCAAAATATAGTTTACCCAAATAGACAAAACTACAGTGCAATGCCGCACCGCCACTGACACAGCACTGCCACTGGCACCGCACTGCAACTGCACCATCACCCCAAACCGAGCCTAAGTTGAATTAAATTTCGATTTGTTTGGCTTAGTTTTATCAAAATTTTGATTGGTTTGGTTTTTCATAGTTTGCAATTGATTTTGGTTATCGGCCCAAACCGGCAGAATGCTCATCCTGGCTGACGAATCTATACCGCTTGATTTTCATGATAAATGACCATGTTGTAGTTTCTCCCATAAAAAGCGGTGAATGAGCAATTTTCAACTTCCCATTTTGGTTTTTCTCAAGACATCAGCTTATATTTATGTTGTGTTATTTTCCGTTTTCCACATAAATTTCAAAGTAAAAATTGATTCTCTTCAATAACCTTGCAGGATGAACCATGGATGTATTTGGAGTCCAAACATATGCTTGCAGTTGCAGAAGCTTAAATTAATTATCATAACCTCATAAGCTGGATCTTTGAAGTATGAATAGTGTACTTGAATGCTCGAGTAAAAAGATGGAGCAAGTGTTGTCTGTATTCTAGGCTTCTAAACTATTATATATATATATTATTATATATATATATATATATATATATATATATATATATTCCTGCAACATGATCTTATTAAGCCACAATTATGATTACTAGTAAATTGCCCTACAAACATTCTCTCTTTTTACCATTTTTAGCAAGTGAAAGTATTGCGTCCAGAGTTCGGATGCAAGCTGCATCCAGACACCATTGCGATACACCCAATTTTTTTTTTCTCTCTTAAGAGTGCATCACGTCCGTTGTTCGGACGGTTCCGGACTCTAGATACAATATTTTTTCTTTTAGCAGAGGGTGATGCTGTACTGGCATTACTTAGTGCAACAAGATGGTTAAACCTTTATGATTTTCTTAAAAAAGCATTTTTTATTTTTTTTTTCAAGTTTCATTGTTATAACTCAGTTGGCAAAGAAAGGAAGTGAGAAAAATTAAAAAAATCCTTGTTTTTTTTATTTTTTTTATTTTTTTGTTTGTTTGTTTTGTGTGCATTTTATCACTTCAATGTTCTCTATTTCGTTATGGAGACGTTATCTTATATATCCTCCAATAATGTATAAGCATGACGTCAAACCTTTTGTAGGGCTGTAATTGAGCGCGGTGGGGTTTTGAGTGTTATCTTGTCTCAGCTTTTTTTTTTTTTTTTTTACTTTGAGCTATTATGAAAATGATCTTAGTTTTAACTTATTTAGGGCTTGTTTGGGCAGTTTATGAGTGCAGGGTCATTTTTAAAAACGTCACGGTACCATTTGGATCGCACGTCTTAATTGCTTTTTCGAAAATATGGTTCTATTTTTATACTAGATACGGGCCGCGTTTCAGGATAAGCTTCTTGTCCTGAAACGCACAAGCTGCCTCAAACACTCTTAATCTTTTTTTCTATTAAATTGACCTGACCTTGAAATGATACTTTAAGAATGGTTTTTTTTTCTATATATATAAAGTACTTGTCATGTATAAGCTGCAATTGAAACTTTTACGTGTTTAATTGTATAATTTTAATTTTTAGAATAATTTAGATTAATAAATGATAATCAAAATTAGCATTAATTTAATTAATTTTTTTAAAAAAAAAGAAATTTGAGCCTTATATTCTGCTTATTCATGCACTCGTCATGATATAAAAGCGAAGGCTACCAACATAGCAGTTGGACGTTGAGCTGTTAAATTCAGCATTTAATGTACAAGAAAGAGTTGGGGCGTTGGGGCTACAAAATATAAGTAAAGAGATATAAGACTTCATTGATATAATATTCAGTGAACACATTAATGAAAATATTCAATCATGAGGAAAACCTACATATCGAACAATTTATATATATTAATTATCGAATATTTAAATTTTAAATTTTATATTTATCACATTTAATATTTTTGATGTGATATGAAAAATTTTTATATTAAAAATATATAAATTAAATTTTAGGTGTTAAATATGTAAATATAAAGGAATTTTGTGGTATGAATGTAAATGTTCATTTCTTCTAAATTGTCTATCTCGTTCTTTATTAGATCAAAAATAAAAAAATTACATACTAATCAATAACTAATTAATTACATATACCGAATTTCAATTTTTACATATTTGCCATGTTATATATGGTTGAAAGTTGTATTTTATTTTTTAAGAAGCTTTAAAAGTGAATTTTTATGTGATATAAAAGATTTGGTTGGTATTGATATAAAAATAAAGAAATTTATTGCTAAATAAAGAAGAGAGAGAATGAGAAAATTAATTGCCTCAAAAGCTTGTAATTGCAGAATATATTTGAGACAGAGCTGATGTGCAGGCTCATTTGGGCTCTGAATAAGTCAAAACGGGCTCGAGTCGAGCTTAACATACCCGCTCATTCTAATCAGGCTTACGGCGAGTTCGTCAGGCTGCTTGCCCAATGCCCACGTCTAAGTGCAACTACGCTACAGTGAGGTAATAGCATCGGTTGTTGACAAATATTTGCCACCAATTAATTTTTGATTTCCTGAACCTTCTCTTTAAATTCTTATTCCGCAATTATTCAAGTCATTTGGGTTGGTTTTGTAAAACTTAAAATAAAAATACTTAAACTTTAAATAAAAATACTTAACAAATAACTAAACTAAACGCTCGTGTTTGGCTCGTTTATATTTCGAGCTCAAAAAGTGTGTTCGTGTTCGGCTTGTTTGTTTAGCGAGCCGAACAAGAGCCCTTCACGAACAAAAAGTCGTTTTGACAACTCTAATCACGTAGCCATAAGATGTTAAGAATTGGGACAATATTTAAAACATCATCTGAATTTAATTTAATAATTTTTTATTCTATTTTCTTAATTAATACTTTTAAAGTATTAATTGATTATAAATCTTTGTAGCTTTGTGGTCAATTTAACTTTTTAAAAATACTACTCATCAAATATATATATATATATATATATTTGATTAGTAGTATATTGAGCCAAAATGAGCCGAACACGAAAGAACAAATATTTGTTCATGTTGCTCGTGTTCAGTTCATTAACTTAACGCACGAGCCGAACAAAAGCTTCTTAATGAGACGAGCACGAGCTATTCGCGAACAACGAGCTGTTATGACAGCCCTATTTTTAAATTGTGATAACTATGAGAAAATTGGAATCAATAAAATCAAAATTTTAAATAAATTAAGCGTGCAAAACGAAATTTCTGACTTGCACGCAAATTATAAAATAAGATAGCGGATGATTCTATTTTTAGGAGCGAGCTTATTGACTAGCGATGCTTAGTATTTACGTTCTGCAAATTTTTATTTCGATAATTTATTAAAATTCAGACTCTTATTTCGATGACATTCTGGCTATTATTTTATATGTGATAGTATTTAAGTTATAAAATAAGAAAAAATAAATTGAGATTCAAATTACATAGCATATAAAACTTAGGCTTCTTGATGGGTTTCAACAATTTGTATTATCTTCGGGGGTGTTGTCATGAAACTATCATTTCTACAGTTAAGTGTCAATAGGATCTTCACCGTCCGTCATTAAAAAAAAAAAAAATGGAGCTCATCAAAATACATCTTTACGATGAAGATCGGACAACGTATACATTTCTACATATGTTGTTCGTATGGAATAATTTTTCCAATATGATAAGTATTTTTTCATGAAAAGAATCGGAAACTACAATCTCATAAGTAAAATTTATTAAAAAAAATAAGAAAATTATAATCAATAACCTGTAAATTTTATAAGACTTTCAGTGACTGTTGGGATTTTTTTTATAGAATTTTGTTAAAAAAAAAAGTCTCAAGAGGAGAATTTTGCTTTGAAATTAGAGATGTAAAAAACTGACTAAATACACCGACTCGGTATCAGATTTAGGGTCTGTTTGGGGCAATTTATTCGGTGCGGTGAAGTTTTGAAAAACGCACTTGACATGTTTGGGTAAACTGCATTTTGGCAGCTTATGCGTTTTGAAAACGCTGAAAGCAGTGTTTTCATACCGCACCTAAATAGGTGTGGTGGCACCTAAATAGGTGCGGTGGCAGCTCTCTGGCAACGGTCTGATATTTCAAAAAAAAAATAAAAAATTTGTAATAGTCATTGCATCTAGCTTATGAGCAGATTATTTTCAATCAACTTATAAGCATATTATTAAATAAGCTACAGCTGCCCCAAACAGACCCTTAAAAAGCTCTGGTTCAGGGTGACCCGATTTGGTTTTTAGAGAGGGTCGGGCCCAAAATTTTAAAGTGTTTAACCTTTCAGGTTGGGTTCAAGTTGACCCACCAATCCAAAAATAATTTCAAATTGACCCAGCTTGAATTCAATCTGAACTCGATTTAAATTAACCCAAATAATTATTATGCATTAAACGAGTTATACGCGTCCTGTTTAGGTTAGTTAGGTAGAAAGCACGCAGGGTTCGAGTCAAATTTTGATCCTTCCAAAACCTTGGGTTAAACATATTCAGGTCGGGTCAATTATGGGCGGATTCGAAGCCAACCCGTGAATCCGATTTGACACCCCTACTCACCCATCAAAATTCAATTTAATTCATTATGAGATCCATTTGGGAATTTATTTATTTTTTTTATTTTCTTTTAGAAAAATGTGATTTTGACAATTTCAGAAAAAATGGCGGCCTAGCTTCCACTCATGAGTCGTGATAGACGCAGGAAAGGAAGACAATTGCGGCAGCCCTAAAGGAAAAGGAAGAAAAGCCCAAATATCTTTTTCTATGAAATCTATTTTTTTTTCTTTTATATATAATAAAAATAATATATTTTGTTTATTGATTTTTCTTTTATGCGCCATTTGCCGCAAAAATTAGTTGGGATTCATGCATTTATCATAGTTTTGTAGGATAATTTTTTTTTTCTATAAACTAATCAAATAAAATCAGTTTAGAAAAATAAATTTTGACTTACTTTTAATGTAAAAATATTATTTTTTTGTATCTCTTGGATTATATTATATATCATATTTTTTTAGAGTAGAGCTTCTTGTGTATGTATGATTTTAATTGATAGGAATAGGAGTTTTAGTGCGTTTGTCGATGACAATCTTGATCAAACTCTATAGCTCTAATTGTACATAAGTGGGTTGTCTCATTCTCGTCTTTTTTAGGTAGCCCTTATGTCGCTAATGATAGTAAGTTTTGTACCATTTTAAATCACTATTTAAAAACTAATTTTGTAGGGATCTTAGCTTTTTGTCAGTAGTTTGAAACTGAAAGGCTAATTTTAGCGACTTAATTTAGGACTGATGATAGAATATCTGATATTTTTGTTAAGTTGACCATCTTCACGATTAAGTGATTTCAAACATGATAGTCTAGAATAATGGGTTTATGAAATTCTAACCATATTATTTACATCTTTATTAAACATATCACCTCTTTGAGATCTTTGTACTTTCTTTTTAATGTTTGGTGATTTAATGATTGTTATTGCATGAATAATTTATGTGGGAAAATGATCATCTCACTTGATTTTTAGTTATTTATACTCTGCATTGTGAAGTTTTTGTTTCAAAGCATAGGCTATTGTATTAGGATAACAAACTTTAAATTATAATCTATGTTTTCAACATTGAAAATATCTTTTAGAGGTGTATTTTAGTGTAATTAAGCATAAGAAGCCAAATATTTCTGAGAGATCTATTTAATTTTGATGATATAATTTTTTAAGAGCATTTTATAGGAGTTTGAATATCTCCCACAAAAGTAATTAATGAATGAAATGAAGTAATCATTTTCTTCTATGAAATTTTTTAACTATATTGAAATTAAACCATCACAGGCTTTTGGTGTAATGGCCACAATTTTAGTAGGAACTCCAAAGTTATGTGTGCTTGCATTTAAGATGAGTGACTACATGGAAGTAATACCAATAGGACAAAATCATAAAACCATTAAACCACAGTGAGCAATATCTCGATATGTGGGAGTTTGATCTGTTACTAATAGTAACAAATTTTTATATCAGACTGAAGATAAAAACAAAATTTGCCATGCAAAATAGAGTACTACGCTATGGAAACCAAATTTTGAATCCTAAACGACATAAAGTGCTACATGGCGGGACTCATCCCTCGAATATGTAGATGTTACCACTAAAAATCCCATATGCATGATGGATGATCCTAAATTAAGAATATTGATAAAAATATCAATTAATTAAGTAGAAAATATTGTGCAATCTCTTAAATACATTTAATCTAAACTCTAAAGCATAAAGGTGTATTTGATGTAACATTTTCAACTTCATCAGAAACTCTAAAGTTCAGTGTGCTTGTATATGAGCGCTCTCAAGATTGGTGACCTCCTTGAAATTACACCAATGGAATAAAACTGTGATATCATCAGACTAAAGTGAGATTTGAAGTTGTTACATCTTCTGCGTCATTCCTTAATTTCTTCTTCCTTCCCATTGTTGAATTTACGAGCACCTTATATTTGTTTAGAAACTATGATAAGTTTTAGTCTAAGGTTTAAAGCTGTATTCTTTAAAAAATACTAAAGAAGGGCTGCTTTATAGGGCTCAAGAAACACATCATTTGCTTCACTTTTATCTTATATTGTTAAAATATAACAAATACAAGCATCATTTTTATCATATCATTGTTAGATGAAAACAAGTTTAGGGGCTTCCATGTAGTTTTGTAATTGTTGAATATTAAGGAGTGATAAATATTTAAGTTTAAATTTAATATAAAAAATAATATATATATATATATATATATATATATATATATATATATATTTATATATAGTTGAAACAAGGCTTAGCAAACACCAGAGGAGCAACTGCTCATGTTAAAAACGATTTATATCATACAAATATTTACATAAACAAGAACTGAATCTCAATCCAAGCATCCACTTGAAAAGCTCAGCTGAACAAATTCAAAAAAACATAAGCAGAGACTCTAAATATAACACTTCAGTTTATATCTCCATGGATTTGCTCCTTTTTTTTGTGCAAGAATACATAGCATGAACCCAATCCCCTGCAACCAAAAAAAAATAAAAATATGAAAAACATTTATTAGAAAATTAAAATTAAAATAACAAAGAAGTTAAATTTCATCCAAAATTACAATATTAAGTTCTAAAACTAATAAAAATAAAATAGTTTTTCAGATTTAAATGTTTCAAAATTTAATACATTTAAATCCAGAAGATTTGCTAAATTCTAATAACTTAAATGTCATTTTTTATTTTAAGGGTGTATTTGGAGCAGTGTGCGTTTTAGGATAAGCTGTTTATCTTGAAATGCGGCTTGCAGACAAGCTATGCGGTGCAAGTTTAGATAAGCTGATGAAACGGGCAAACCTATAAGCTGCCCGAGACGGGACATAAAGGGTAATAAAAATATGAAACCCTAAATTAAAAATAGAGAATGAAAACCTACCCTCTGTTTCTTCTCCCGCTGCTATTACAGCTTTCGCTGCTGCAACTCCGATCCTCACTATCACTGTTGCTCGGCTTCGGCGAGACCTTCGCCCCTTTCCCACCGCCGGCTCCGGTGATCCTCTTCCGACCAGCCAGCGCAGCCCTAACCCTAGGCACGAACGCCTTCATAATCGACCCTGTCTCACTCTTCTTCTCCCCTCTCGAAACCGCACTCTGATTCCTATTCACATCCTCACCACCCTCCGTCGCATCCACCTCCGGCTTCCTCGTCGCCGGACGTTCCACGATATCCCTCAGTGATAGCTCATACGCACCCACTTCTTCACCTTCCTCTTCCGGCATGTTCCGTACCAATTCCATCATCTCCTGTCGGTACTTCTCGATCATCTGTGCCCTGGAGTTCGCCTTCGCCGGAGGAGGGTATTTCAGTTCATCATCGTCGGCGGCGGCGGTGGCTGCGTTAGTGAGCTGGGAGAGCGGTCTGCGAGCCCAGGGACCAAAGTTCTGCTCGGAATCGTGTCGGCCGAAGCTGTTGTGGTTAGATTTGATAAGCATCTCCGCCCAGATGTTGTAATCGAGGGAGTGGGGGTTGCGGTAGTGGTGGCGGACGGCGGCGGAGGGCTGATGCCGGCTGTCGTCTGAGGAGGCCAGCATCGTTATTGTTGAAGGGATGGAGTTGTGTGAGGGTAAGTCTTGCTTGTAGGGAGGGTAGGGTTTTATTGAAGGGGGTGGGGGGAGACAAAAGTCCAGCTCAGGGATTAATGCGTTGGAGAAAATTTTAATAATATTAAGAAAATTATTTTAAGATTATTTTTATTGAGAAAATTAAGTCAATATATGTACAAGAAATTTTAATATAATATTGAACTAATTAAAAATTTTATTCATTTTAAGAAAATTATGATGTTCAAATTTTAATAAAAATGTTTTTACGGTGGATTTAATGTTTAAATTGTTTTATAATGATTTTTTTTAAATGATTATAAGCAAATTATAAAGTGTGTAATTCTAAATCATGATCTTGAAAATAAATGATGTATTTTTTAACAAAATTTATTTATAATTTTAAAATTTGAAAATAAAATTGAATGGAACTTTCCGTCCAAGCTTATGAGGAATTCGAATTTCTTTTGGTGTGTTGAGGGAAATGAATGAGAAGATTTTAAGAGTAATTTTGGTAGTAGTTTCCTCCTCATAACAGACCGATTCAAGCGAAACTGAATTGTTGGAAAATGATTCATGAGTGGGCTCAGATTATTCAATGTCAAATAACCACCATAATTTTATTTGAGGAAAAGTTTTTTTAGTTTATTTCTGTGTTGGATCCTAATTTGTCTTTTGTGGATCATGCTCCGAGAGTTAGAGCCGAATGAATGAGAGAAAGAAGAGAGAGTAGAATAAATATGAGATCTTTATGAGGAGAATCGAGAGAAATGTCTCTTTATTGATATTTTTGACCCTACTTTTATAGATGTGTTTTTTATAATCATAGAAAGGAGGTAATAATTAGACAAACCGTTCTTAATGTCATTAAGACTCTAGCTGATTGTATATATTTTATGTCATATTTGCATTATAATTTGAACTTCAATATTGGAGGTAATTGGCTAGTCGGCTGATTTGTAGTTAACCGACTAAGGCGATCGGTCGAGCTGGAGGCATTCTGTAAGGTGTCTGATCTAGCGACATTCAACCAAGAAGTTAATTGGGTGGATCGGATTAGGTTAGGCACAGTGACGGTTCTCTGGAAGTTGAGGGGGTATGTCCACTTGGAGGTCTTGGAGGACCCTTTATAAAACACTTCGTTCGAGGCCTGTAATAATTTTATTCGCAATAAAATGATTTTTTTATGAATTTTTGAAAAGACGTTTGGTGTGATAATTATTATTATGTGATTCTTTGTCTGACGTGCCCACCTTATAAATAGGGGAAGGAGTCGCTTTTTCACTTTACACGCTTTTATTTCTTTCATTTTTCTTCAACTTTCTCTTCTCATCGTTTCCTTTGGCTGGATCTGCACTTGTCTCTCGAGATGGCCCCCAAACACTCGCCTGTCTTGTTCAACTTTGTGAAGGACACTGAACCTTCATTTCTGACAGAGAAAAAAGTGAGGGAGCAGCAACAAAGGCATGTTCTTGACGAGAGCATAATTCATCTGAGGTTGTCATAATCAGAGCGAGCGACAGATCCTTTGAGAGAAGACTCATTCTTCTACCGAGGCCAATTCAAGTATGTCCTTCGGTTACACTTGTGTCAGGAGCTCTGGAGCATCTTCAACACCTATGGGGTTATTCCAGTGCAAGTGATGTCGAACTCCATAGCTACAAACATGACTTTCATCCATTTCTGTTGCTGGGAGTACAAAACAAGATGTTCAATCAAACTCTTTACATACTTCTTCTTGTTCAAAGTAAGCAAGGAGGGCTCCGTTATATTATCAGCGGGCAAGGAACTTCACTTAGTAGGGGTACAAAACAAGATAAATGATTAAAAGAAGTATCTGGTCAGTTCCTGTTTTGACACCTGGAGAATCCATACCGAGCCGTTAGGGTGTAAGGTGTCCAAGTCGAGGCTTCTTTTAGGTACACAGGTGATGTTGAATTCACTGAGCTTCCACTACCTATTATAGCAGTCTGTTGGAGTGCTCTAGCTGTCTGTGTACAGACTTTAGCAGATGGTCTGTGATGACCCAGATCAGATGCATCTAAAAGTACTATCGAAGTCTGAGAGTGGAAACAATCAAAATAAATGTTAGTTTTTTCATAATTGAATGCCTGGTTTTGGTTCCATGAAGCACTCGACTCGTGTAGTAGTTCACGCCTTCTCGTCCGACTACGAGATACATAGGCAGTTTTTCCACTGGTTTCAGACTCTAGAGCTGTGGTTGTGATACCAAGGAATCTTTCAAGTTACTGAACGCATCCCACATTTGGTCCTCCATTTGAAATGTTGATTCTTTCTCAGTGCTTTAAATAACATCACACACTTGTCACTCGATCTCAGGATGAAACGACTTAGCTCGACAATTTGACTAGTTAACCTCAGGATTTCCTTAGTATTTTGTGGAGGTGGCATGTCCAAGATTGCATGTACTTTCCCTAGTTTAGCCTTCAGTCCTTCGGGGGTCAGTAGGAAGCCGATGAACTTTCTGGTTGACTCCCCAAGGGTACACTTGGAGAGATTTAGTCTCACGCTAAATGTTTTGAGTGTTATGAATGTTTCTTCAAATCTTTGATGTGTTGTTCGAGTGTTTTACTTCTAAATAAAATATCATTGACATACTTCTTAATATTTATTCCTTCATAATTAGAAAAAAAATACATCCATGAGGCACTAATAGGTCACCAGTGTTCTTAAGCCCGAAAGACAATACATTAAAATAAAATATTCCTTGCACCGTAATGAAGGTAGTTTTTTATGTGTCGACCAGGCACATCTTTATTTGGTGATAACCAGAGTAGGAGTCAAGGAAACTCATGACTGAATACCTGATCACTGCGTCCACCAAGGTGTCAATCTTCGGTAGAGGGTAGGTATCTTTCGGGCAAGTGCAGGTGGATTTAGTGTGTTAATTTTGCAAATATTTTTCAATATTACAAAATACACATGAAAGATACAATAGTAAATATGTAATTTAATCTCAACAAAAATAACTTTAGTGAAAATAGTTTTATCTTTTAAAAATCTTAAACTGCCAAATGCCCCAAAAATAACACAAGTATACATATTGCTCCAGTAATAAAGAGCTCTAATGGAGTCCTAGAAATTGATCTCAAGAGGAAGTTGGAAATGCCTATAAGTAAATTCTTAAGATTATAATGTAAACTACAATTTTAAACTACAAAAGTGAATTGCGAAATTCAAATATAAAGTAATAGAGTGAATGCTAAATAAAATGAGTAAAAGATAAAGTTAATTAAACTAATTGCTAAACTTTCAAAAGTAAATTTACAAAAACTAAACCAAGTTTTTGTGACGAAGAGTTCAAATTTAAGAAATCATCATTCCCCTTTACAATGAGTATATGAATTGTGAAGAAATTAAAATCATTTGATATATATATATATATATATATATATAAGTAAGGAGCCTAGCTCCAATTCATTAATGAAACCAAAACAAAAATACAAGAGGAATGAAAAAAGGTGACAGGAGAGGGAACCGCCACTCCAAAAGCTCTCACTATTACCTCACCTAAGGGCTAACAATCTCGCATTAGTTTCTAATCAACTGGACCAAATTAGGAATTTTAATCTGTCACCTTAAAATCTCTAATTCTGCATCCAACAAAATATATTTCCATATTTATTTGCACTCAACTCCCTCAATTCTATCGATACTCTCCCATGAAATCACATGTGATTTTCCCTATATTGTAGAAATTATAGCCCTTTTGGAACATATGTTTCTGAAAAAATTTTAACATTTCAATTGGCCAGATTGAAAATCATATTGAAAGTAAATGAAGATTGGAGTTCAAATCATCACAAATTATTGACATTTAAAACTATATAAAATAAAATCAATTCTTCACAAAATCATATTTCATCATAGGGAGAAGGATAAAGAAAACTACTCATAATTCATGAGAAGGATACGAAGAAGACTACTAAGAATTCATGATAAAGATACGACAAAACACGGATTTCATATATAAAAATAAGTTTACAAAACAAAAGAAATAAAAGATAAATTATTTCACAATCCTTCCTAAGCAAATACCTAGAAGTTCTCTTCAAGTCTTTCCTCTTTACAAACACTCTCGATTCTCTCTTAGAAGTGTAATGAAGAATAAATCTCTCATCTTGTCTCTTCTCTTACAATCCTTGAAGAAAATCTTTAAGCTCTTGACTTTCTCTCTCTCTCTCTCTCTCTCCTTTCCTTTCTCTCTCTCCTTTTCTCTCTTTCTCTTTTTTGCCCCTTACACGCCACGCCAATCAAATCTCTTTTTTGTCCTAGACTTCTCTCTCTTTTATTAAAGGCTGTCTCACTCCAAAAAGATTTCAAAATTCCCTCCAAAATTCTATCTAAAAGTCAACTCTTTTGAATTCAAAAGACATTTCCATTGATCCAAGAGACATATCTCTTCATAAAAGAACATTCCAAAGTGTATAGATGCATTGAATCACTCCAAGGGATGTTTAGAACAATTTTCCCTCTGAAAATTCGCACAAAATTCGTCTTGAACCGCCTTAATCGGTAAAAAGTCATCTCTGGCGCATCTGACGCCAGTTATAGCGCTTCAGGCGCCAACTTGCTTATGACCGCACTGTTATGGGTTTTGGCACTTCAAGCTCCAAATCTGGCGCATCTGGCGTTAACTCTCTGTCAAATGGTTCTTCTGGTGCCAGCTTTGGTGCTTCAGGCGCTAGCTCTCTGTCAAATGGTGCTTCTAGCGCCAATCTGGCGCATCAGACGCTAGAATCACAAAATTTGTTGTTTGGGCTCTAAATTTTATCCTTTTTGCTACTTTTATTCCAAATGCCTAAAATTGATATGCTTACAACAAAAATATGAAAATACCTTTTTTTAAAGTGCAATATCACCAAAATTAAACATAAAATATATACTTAAAACAACATATTATTTTGGTGTACCAGCAAGCGGCGTTGAAGTTAGTGAAGTCAATACACATCCACCACTTGTCATCAACTTTCCTGACCATGACGATGCTAGAGAGTCAAGTTGTGTATTGGACTTCATAGATTTAACTGACATCTAACAACTTCT